ACCCACCACTATTATGGACTGCTGGACTATTTTGGAATATTTTGCTGAATTCATACACCTACAATATTTAAATTACAATGGAATACCCTTCTCTGACAAAACTAAACAAAAAAAGGGGATACAAATGAAGGACCATTTTGTATCTGCATATTCAAAATAGTTAGGTAAGATATACAACTACTTTCTCTTAATTCAATGAGAAAAAAGATTTGTTCTAATAATGTTTGGACAGGATATCATATCTGCATCTTGTACTCTGAATAACCACTATGAAGACAACAATATGCAATGTATTAATTATGGAAACTGTCCTACTAACCGGTTTTGAAACTGTCTCATTCCTATGTTTCTCAATAAAATTATTTAAAAAAAGATAAAGACAAAATCATATAACATGCATCAAAAGCACTTTACACAGTGGTTGGAATTTGGCAAGTATTTTTAAAATGGCAATGGTTATCCTTATTTTGATTGAACCTTAGAAAATGCAACCTTAGAAAATGAGTGGTTTCATTTCTTTTAAAAAATTATTTATTTATTTATATTTGGTACAGGATTTCACTATGCAGCTCAGACTCATAGTAGTCCTCCTTTCTCAGTCTTCCCAGCACTGGGATTATAGGCATGTACCACCATGCCTGGTTTTTGGCTGGCATGGCATGCGGTACCAGGGACTGAACTCAGGACCTTGCCAGGCAGGTGCTTAGACTGCCAAGTTATTGCCCCATGAGCTGTTTCATTTCTTTCTGCAACCCACAGAAGACAATCTTAGAGATTAAAAAAATACTAAAGACTCTACAGTTCTGTTTGCTTATTTTACAGGTAAGAAAACCAAGATGTGGGAATGAGGCACAATATTCCTGAATTTATGAAGAACAGTTTCTAGCACTCAGATCTTTAGAACTTAGGTACAGTGTAGCTGCAATGCAAAGAGGAGAAGCCTTGGATTTGGGACATGTGGATTTGCCACTTAAATATATTCATGTTCAGTTTCATCCTATGCCAAGTAGGTGCAAAGATGTCTAGCCTTAGAGTTTCACAGCAAGGGGGAGGATGTTGCAATAATTTGAGATTATTCTGTAAGTTGTAGAAAACTACCACACAATGGCTACTTAATGAGTTCATCTTCATTCTGCAACATAACGTAAGCATAGACCCTGAAGCACATGCACTCCTGTCAGAGAGTGGGGATCCTCTGGCATAACTTCCATGGCACAGGAACTAGGACTGCCTTGAGCAGGTGTTGTTTTTCACAGTGGCCACTTGCTCTTGGCGTTACAAAAGCAGCACCTCGGACAGCGGCCAAGGCCGCGTCCTCTTCAAAAGCTTGATAGTTCCATCAGCTTTTTGCTTGGAGCACCTGTGACGCTCCCGAGCACTTTCTTCTGCCCACAAGCCATTATTTCCTTGAGTCGATGATGCTCCTAGTGAGATGCAAACAGAAACTCGACTTGCATCCTTATGTATTGCCACGAGGGTCGTGAAGGGGCTACACAGAATCAGGACTCACTTTGACCTTCACCATTGGGTGAGCATAGACTGGTAACCTGCTGCATTAGCTAGAAAGCAAAAGTTTGCCTTTTCATTTGGTCTGTCTATATGTGAACTGCATACACGTTGGGGCTTAGAAACATTTAGCAAAGCAAGTCATCCGGAAGAATAAAGCATATGGGCTGCAAACTTGGGGGAGACTGACAATGCTCGAATCCGAGTCATCAGGTCCAAAACGCCAGCAAATGTTAAGGTGTCAATGTTAATTTGGGACAAGGGCACAGAAAGTGAAGAAGAATGTAGAGACACACTGGAGATGCTGAACAGAGGAACCCCAAGAGGGAAAAGCGTCAGTTTATCAAGTATGTAAAAAGACAGCATCCCTCAAAGAAACAGGAAAAGAGGCAAGATAAGTCACATTTTATAACCTAAAAATGCTTTAAAGATAACCTCAGAATGTAAATGATTCTACTAAAACCCATTAATTTGGTGTAAGCTTTATTTTGTGTCCTCACTATATGTCTTTTTTTGTGGTAAACTCCTTTTCATGAGATGACTGAAGAACTGAGAAGGGTTTGCTGAAAATGATAGAGCTACTATAAATGTACAGGCTTATCTGATGCAATTTTTTTTATTCCTTAGAACATAGTTCCAAGGGGCCAGGGATGTAGCTCAGTGGTGCGGTGCCTGCCTGGCAAGCTCTTGGTACACCCCCACCCCCATAATTTCAAAATTATAAAGCATGCAGTGCCTGGTATGACTGACTTGGTAAGGTATTATGCTCCTAACCAAGCACCCCTAAAAACAATGTGATTCACAATTTTGTTTACATATTGCTCAGTCTTTTCAATATGAACATGTTTTAAAAATCACTAAAAACCTGAATCAAATTCAGGTCCAAGACGCATTATTGCCCATTGTTAGAACTTTTTTTTTATTGTAGATTTTTACCTTCCTAAACCTCTAAAGGAACAGAGCCATCAGGAATACTCAAAGCTTGCTGTTTGCAAAGGTAGATGTGGTGGGCTGGGTCAGGGGGAGGAGGGAGGAAGGGTGAAGGACAGAGCAAGACCCAAGCAGTACCCGTGCGGCTGCTTACCTTTTGGGCTCTTGATTGGAGTGGGTTTTGGATTCCTTTTTCTTTTTGGATTCTCTTTTGGTATCTTTTTTAGTCTCTGGTTCAGATGCAGAGGGAATTTTGCTCCCTTCAGAGTCTGCATTGGGTAGCAGCCCACCAAGGCACACATGCATTTGTTGACTTTTGAGAGGGGAGGTAGCGCGAGGCATGCACAGAGTGTGGCCAGCCACCGGAGCACCAAGGGCACACGCACATGCACGGACAAAGGAAAGAGAAAGAAGGGCACATCACCAAGCAAGAGCAAATGCATTCAAACTAAAATAATAAGCAAAAAAAAAAAAAAAAGATGCAAACTTGCATAAGGAAAATCAGAACTGAAAAGAAAATAAGAAATCCCAAACTGTTTCCATGACAAGATGTATAAACCTAACTGTGAATCAAGTGGCAGTCTTACAATATGAAATCCAGACAATGTGTATCATAATTCATGATGATGTTTACCAGGGAGTTTACAAAAACACTTCATTATTTTATAACACTTTCTTATTCAGTAACATATGTAGAATACAGTGTGACAACCCAGAGAATATAATGCAACTTCTCTCTCTCTCTCTCTCTCTCTCTCTCTTTAAAGAATTCAGTCCAAGAGGCTGTAACAGATAGTCATCAAAGTGTACATATTTATAAAAAGCAGCGCTAGGCACAGATACACCCCAGGTATCAGAGTTTTCATGCATATCACTTGTGTAAATAAAAGGTCACGCACAGGATTACTGAACCTCATGACAATAGGAGGTGAAGACAGCCTCGTTGTCTGTTAAATATTCAAACCTACAGTGCTATTGTTGTCTGGCTCTAAATACTGAAGTTGCATTTCATAAGGATCTACCAGCACTGGGGAGAGGCAAAGCACAGAGCAAATCCCCAGACACAGTGTTCCAGGGCTGTGCAGCTGGCAAAGATGAGGGGGACTGCCACCGCTCTGAGTCAAAGAAACGTAGCTGATCTTGGACTTTCTCCACTGTGGATGTCCCTAGAGCAGTGGTGGCGAACTGTGGGACTCATGCTGCTGCTCGATGCTTGCTGGCATCCAAAGCTCGGAGGGGTTCACCATCACTGCCCTACAGCAACAGCGCTTCCCCCAAAGGCTGGCTTTCCAGAGCCACCTGGCTGTCCCCCTGAGGAGCCTAACCTGGCTGCTGGGTGGGGTGCTTCGGGAGAGGGTGAGATCGTCTTTTTCCTAATGTGAGGCTCCATACACTGGGGAGGTAAAGTGGCTGTGGCAGTATGGAAATATATTCCATGTCTCCAGAGCCAAATGGCAATGTTCTGAAATTATCTACGGCTCTGCATTATGCAGAACATGGGCCTCTTCCTCCAGGAACTGGGCAAGGTCTACAGAAAGGGAGTACTTAGAACAGAACCAGGAGGCTTGGAGTTCTGGTCTCATCTGTAAAATCTGTAAAGCGAGGCGGGTGATGAGCCTGGGATCTCTGCAATTCTTCCCACCTCTCTGGTTACATTACAAGTGTTATTGTCATCTTTGTCTTCCAGCTTCACCTAGCTCGTTCAGCACTCAAGATGTGCCTGGCTCCTTCCTTCCGCAGGACCATTGTACACGCTGTTCCTTTTGCCTGGAACCACTCAACTCCTACACACGCGTCAGTTTTCAGCTCCAGCGTCATCAGTTCCCCAGGGAGGTCCCCTGCCACGCTGCTTCTTTTTTGAGTCATGCTCCTTGTTAAATTCCACCATGGAGGTTTACGCCTTCTCTTCCAGCACTGACATTACCGTGATCCTGCCTGTGTTTGCTGTCTTGTTTTCACTCACCACAGATTCTGACTGTGACCCAAATCGGACGCCAGGAGGCCGTCCCTGGCCACTCATGGGGTGAAGGGTGACAACGATGGCAAATGCTTCTGTAGCCGTCAGCACATTCCAGGCACATTGGGAGCTCTTTGTGTCTTTGCACCCTCTTGGGGAAGCTACGAAGACACTATTTTCCATTTTTACAGACAAGAAACCCAGGGAATGGAGGGTTAATTATGAAACAGGCTCACTGATGGTAGTCAAGGAGCCCCGATTTGAACCCAGTTTAGTCTAATATCAGAGGCCACATTAGAAATCCTCGCCATTTCTGTATAGTGTCTTGAAAAGAAGAAACTCAGTTAGACCTCTTGTGCTCTGTGTCTATCTCGGTGTCCATCTCTGTATCTGTCTCTGTCTCTCACTTTCCATCTCCCTGTCTCTGACTCTCTCTCTCTCTCTCTCTCTCTCTCTCTCTCTCTCTCTGTCTCCCTCTCTCTGTCTCTCCCTCCCTCCTCTAGTATGTGTGCTGAGTGTACGTGTATGTAGTACCACTGAGGGCATGGAGCTAGACTGTTAGAGGTGATCCTAAAGTCTGAGACTTTCCAGACCCCCCGGCACGTACCTGTTGCCGTGGACATGTGACGCACAGAAGGCAAAGCTGTAGTGGAGAAGGGTGGGGTCGATCGTGGTCCCGTCCTCTGCCCGCTCCAGCAGGTCTCTGAGGTAGCAGAGATGTCGGTGGCTCCCTCGGACTCCATTGCGGGCACAGTATTCGTCTAATACGAACACCTGGCCAGGACTGAACCAGCCCTGTGTGGGGAGAAAGGAGAGGTTTTCTTTTAAATACAGGCTGCTTCCTGGAGAGCCGGGAGCCCTGGGGTGGGTGTAGCTAGCAGTGGCCTGGGGGAGGAGCAGGGGCCAAGGCTCACGGATGTCATTAAACTCCAGCCACCCTGTGTGCTGCGTGTCTGTCCTTACACAGGGCCCGGGGGGAGACACTGACATGCTGGCATGTGTACAGGAGCCCTGAGTTCAGGGAGGACAGAGAGCCCTGCGGGCGGGCAGGACAGGGCCAGCTTCGTTCTGCAGGTCATAGAAGCCTGGGTGCAGGGACTCACTCAGGTGCCCCAGCGCAGGCAGATGCAAGACCCGCTCAGCTGGGCTCACAGCTTCCGGCTTCCCTACTCTGGAGCACGAAGGAGTCTTACAGCTGCTGGGAACGTGTGAGAGGTAACAACAAACCTCACAAAGATTATGTTTTCCAGTTGATCAGACATGGTTCGATCAAATGGAGAAAGGCATCTTATACCCTTTCCACAGTTTTGTTTCTTTCCTCCTGGTAATTTCATTTATTTTTATTATATACTTCCTTGCTATGAGGTCAGCTCAAAATCTGCTGTGAAGTAAAATCCACATTCAGTGGCAGGATGGAATAGAATTTGTTCCTCTGTTACACACTTAAGAAAGCTGGTTGGGGCTGGGCAGATAGCTCAGTGGCATAAGTGCTTGCCTGGCAACTGCAAGGTCCTGAGTTTGATCCCCGGCACAAGAAGAAAAAAAAAATTTAAATCTGGTGCACAGAAAGGCCAAATGACTTGTACCTGGGCCCACCTCAGGCACAGCCTGAAACCAAACTATAGTTTCAGGTTACAGTCATCGAAAGCAAGAAATAAATCAGTTTGGTTGTGCTGTATAAGTTTAGAACGTAGGGCTGTTTTAAATGTGAATTTCATTTTACTTTGAGGGTCTTCTATGAATCCTATTTTGGATATCGTTCCATCTTGGGAGGGAAAGAGCAAGAGGGGAACGTGATGGGATCCGGGGGAGGCCACAGAAGTGCGGGGCGGGAGGTCGCTGCACAACCCTCTCGCCGCATATTAGGGATCCAGGGAATCTTCCACTGGCACCACGCAGCTCTGCGCCGCATCCAACGAGAGACGGCATCTCTCCTATTTCAAATTATAAGTTACCGCAGAGGGCGGGAGAGTAGTCGAGGCAGCGGGCTGCCCCGATAGGCAACTTCTTTGCCACTCCATCTGCTACCCCAAATGCTAAATCTTAGAAACAACACTGCTGTGAAAGATTAAAATATATTTTCTACGACTCAGATGACACCAAGTCTTTTGTAGATGCCAAAATAGCTGCTTTGAAAAGAGTTGAAGAAATATCAATTAGGAACTGAGTCGAAGACACAGAAAAATTTATGTATCCCTGCTGGTCGGTCTCCAAAACCAACTGAAAAAAAGGCTGTAATAATAAGAAAATGGACTATATAGAGACAGGAGATAAGGTTCATTTTAATTTTCTGTAACTCGAATAATTAATAGATTGAGGTGTTCAAACAGAGCAGGAAGCTATTTTACCCTGTTTATAATTAATGTTTGATTTTGGAGAATGTTTTTAAGCCAATAATGACTAGCAGGAAGCAAGCTTCAGTATTTCATTTCTGCTTCAACGTTTTTAAGAGGGCATCTACTAACTCATCCTTGTCATTAATTTCCAAGCAAAAGAAAATTGTTTTCTAAAATGGTGCTGTCAGAAAAGTCTTGAAACTAATACACATTAAAAAAAATTCCTCAAGAGAGTGAGGATTATACCTAAAAGAGCAGGATTTAAGTTCAGAGGCATCCATATTCTTACACATTTCATAAATGCAATTTATAATTAACATGAATAATTCCATGATAGGAAAAACATTTGAGAAAATTGCTTTGCAATGCAAGGTAAGCTTTTTTTTTTTTCTTTATTCTTTTTAAAGTCAAAGTGATTTGTTCCTTTCCAATTTGGCAAAGTTCAGAGTTTTCTGATGAAGAGAGTCTAAACCTGAGATAATCCATGTACCATTTACAAGACTTGGGTTAATAAATTATTCTACGGAGTCCTAGTTCTATTTTTAAGATTACTCTACCTACCGTTCTTTATATTTTAGCTTCTGGGACCAAAATATTAATTAATTTACAAAAAAATGAATCACAGTAGAGTTAAGTACAATCATGTAATTTAGTAAAGAAAGAGGAGTCATTGTGCATGCCTATTGATATTGGCAATATGTTAATTAAATTAATACTTCACAGCTGTATTGATTTTAGGGTTTTAGGAGCAAAAATTTTATAGAGTCATTTTGTCATTACCTTTCATCTTTTTCATCTATAAAGTGTTATTAATTTACCTTTAAGAAATGAAGTAATGATTTTTGGTTTTCAGAAGAAAAGAAACCAAGATATTTTTAGGATTTTGAATTTGATAGTCTAAAGCCAAAAATATATCTTCAGAAATCCAGTAAAGATATAATAGCAGTTCTGTGAATTTAACTAATTTAAATCTAGGTTGAAAAATAGGGTTTAGGAAATATTCATGCTCCTCCCGGATAGCTGGATTTCCAAATGGCTCCCGTACTGTGAAATATTCCCTCAAAGGGTGAAAAAGGTGTGAACACTATGAAGAATGAAAGAAAGAAAGAAAGAAAGAAAGAAAGAAAGAAAGAAAGAAAGAAAGAAAACAAGCCACCAAGAAACAAATCGACCTGAATCAATTAAACTTGTGGACAGTGAAGTCCAGGTTTTTTACATATCATTTCAATCTTTTAAAAAGACACACAGAAAACACATTTCTTTCCGAGATAGGAGCCCCAGGTCTGGAGTTGGGAGGGAGGGGCATCTTAAACTCTTAAGACAAGGAGGTGATTTTTACAAGTTCTCCACAAGCAGGTGCCAAACTCCATTACCCTCTTGGGAATATTTCTCATGTAGCAGCTGAGAAGGGGGAAGCTAAGACGGGCGGGCTGGGGAATTGGACGCGTCTCCTCCGAGAGCTTCCCCCAGCTAGGCTTGTTGCTTTGGGAAGTAAAGCTATCTCAACCCAGGAAATTGAGAAAGACACTTGCAATTGTTAAAGGGACTCTGTAAGGGAGCTTCTGACACAAAGGTAGAGAAATATTTCATTTTAAAAATGTTACATTTAAATTGTCATAGACCAAAGAATATACTTGCCAGGCAAGAATAGGAATCATTAAGTCTGTGATCCAAAGTAAGGCGTTGCACCATCTCAAAAAGGGAAGCGTGGTCAAAGTTACAGGGGTTGGACGAGATAAATTCATCCATGCCATGCTTTTGGGCTCTATCTGCGTCTGTTCATTTATACATGTAGAGAGAGACACAATTTAGAGAAACACATCGCATTTTTTTGACATTTCAAATACACAGGAATCCACTAGGCATTATGAACGCTAGCTGTTTGCATGTTGCCTCCCAACAACACCCCAAGATATTCTTTTTACCTCCCATTGTCAACTTGCATCACGTACTGGAGAGTTTACTGCACTGAGGCAAAAATACATTGGCATCAACGTGGTTATCCAATGATCACAATTACAGTGCATTCAGCTTGTTCTTTAAAAAAACTAAGCACAAGACCGGAACTTCGCCTGCATTTCACGAACACTGAAAGCAGATTGGACCTATGTTCCTAATAGCCTAGTTAGCTTTGTAGGTTTTTAATAGATTCTGCCATTCCAGTGGTTATGTCTAGAGCAATTTCTCTACAATTATTGGGATTGTCTGGAGAAAGGGTTCTGAAGATTTTTCAGCAAAGTGACAATATTGTGTCTCCCCTTCCAAATCCCCATTGCCAATTTGATTTCACAAAAGGTTTGAGTCCCCACCCTCCAAAATTAAAAATTAAAGAAAACAAAAGATTTTCATTGAATCCTGGAGACTGTGTTAAATGGGAATTTAGTTTGTGGGAGCCAAGGACGTTCTCTTAGAGTGTGCTTACGTGTTAGCAAAGCGTATGAAAGAGACAAACAGAAATTGACGGGGGGGGGGGGCTGTGAGCTGTCATTTATTGTGCATAATAGTCTCAGTGTGTTTGCTCTCTTCCTTCGGGGTGAAGGCCGTAGGCAAACTTCCTAAGGGCGAACTCATTAGTGTCAACGTGTGTAGCTAAAATACACAACCCTCAGCTGGCAACGTAACTGGGTGGAACCAGCTCAGGCGCCACCAGACGGACCCTAGAAGGGTAGGAATGGAGGTCTTTCACGGTAAAGGAACCAGCTCACCCCACACTTTTGCTCTCCTTACATACAGGCTACGGAGAAACAGAATCTTGTATCAAATCAAGTAAGATTTTAATCAACTCCTTGCATGCGACATTTTATTGGAATGCGGGAACTTGCCAGAAAGCAGCAATCCTTTCAGGGCAAGGGGAAAATCGATTTCTGAGTTGGGAGAAAAAGGGTGTTTGAATAATATTTTCATACGTGGCCTTCATCCCAGGCAGTTTTTTTTTCTTTTCTAATTTCTCTGCTATGCTTGGGGTTAAGCTGTAAGCTTGGGTTATGGCAGCCGTGTGAATTTAAGAGGGTGGTTTTCCTCTTACTGATTTCAGTGTCATCTAAATCTAAATGCACGGTGCGGCAGATGTATACACTCTTATTGTTGGATTTTTGAATCTTCTGTCAATTCTGGAGAAGCAGCAAGTGGTCAGTATTTGAGCAAGATGTGTTGTTTACGCCCAAGATACACAGAAGCAATGTTTCCAGAAGGCAAGCCGAAGAATATGTATTTTAACAGCCAAATCACTCCATTAAAATGATAAAACACCAGCTTTTCGAAGGAATATCACATGTGCAGGAATTGTATTAGAGAATCCACAAGAATCCTCTTTTGCTGGGATAGCTGTCTCAGATGCGTGCTCGGGAGCGTGCTTTCCCGTGAAGCCTGGAGGCTTCACCTGGGAAAAGTGTTTTCTCTCCCTTCGATCTCCAAACTACATTTGTCCTTGACTCCTAGTGGTCAGGAAGGCGAGGCTGGGAAAGCTGGCTGCTCCTGGGGTGAGGCTGTGCTCCCTGTGGCCCGAGGGCTTGAGCTGCCTGCAGCTGAGGGCTCCCCTGGCGTGAGGACATTCCCTGTCCAGGTGGCACCTCTCTATCTCCTTGGGCAAATTCTGCCCTCCCCCCTGCCCCCGCATCCTGCCAATCCCAGGTCAAGTTAGTTCGGGAGAATCGGAGCGTGGATGTGCAGGGACTGCTTCTCCTATTCCATCCTCAGAAAAAGCACCACCCAGCTCCTGCCTCCCAGTTTTAACAGATAGGTCCGACAGTTTGACGAGCATTAGGTTCTCGCTCTAGGATTTCTCAGAAGAGGCTGTAAGCTGCCAAACTGGCCTGGGCCTTACTTCGCCAGGCCAGCGTGGTGAAGATAGTTTGTTGCCCTTTCATTTTGATGTTGCAACCAATTATTTAGGATTTTTTTTTCTTAGCTGTTAAGCGTGTAGCACATGTTTCAGGCATCTTACCCTGTTTTCACTGAGCCTCTTGAAAATTGTTGATGCCACATTTGCCTCGCTGGCCATGACACAGGTCAGAAAGGTGGTTTGGTTACTGTAGGGGGCCTTGGACACAACTACCGCCTCCCCGACCCACCACAGGGGCCAGAGACTCCAGCCCCACTGCCCTAACTGTGGGCTGATCTAAGAGCAATTTCCTTTTTTACTGATATTTTTAAGCAGGGTTACAGAAAAATCTGCATAAGACCAGCCTGCTTTCTTTTTTCAGACAATAACAATCAAAACTAAACGTCCTTGTCCTTTCTGCTCCTTTTTCTCTTTCTCCTGGTCTCTGGCAAATGAGCCTGGGACTGAATTTAGGAAGTCTGGATTCTAGTATGAGCTACGTTTTAAAATAGCCATTGGATGCTATTTAAGTGACTGTTTCTCCGAGACTCAGTTTCCTTGTGTGTAGGGCGAGCGGACTTAGGTCTCTCGGCTGCCATGCACTGTATGTCGATTACCCCTAAGATCCCCTGCACGCTCCTAGGTACGGGACAGAGCTTCATGTGCTGGAGTCTCAGAAAATAAAATAGGCATAGCCTGGATTTTTATTCGCACAAAATTACCATTCTCTCGGAATTAGACTTATTTTCTTAATTGCTCCAATAACTCAGCAGTGCATAGAGGGGTGGCTGGTTCCCGTGAAATCTTGAACAGTTTCCCTGAGCTTATTACATTGTGGGGGAAGGCAGGGTAGGCTGGGAACGCTATTTCAAGGTGTCGATGAAAAGGATCTGCTTTTTAAGTAAGGGTTTTGGTATTTTTTTGAATTCTCTGCTCTATTTCTCACACCCAGAACGGTACCTGGGCCGCAGGAGGCGCCTGACACCTATTTGTTGTAATAGTGAATTTCACCTAAATAAATTCACTTTATTAAAAACCTTTTCTGTTTCTTAACTTTATAGGATACTGTTATACTAAATTCATTGGAAACACTGTATTTTACAGAGCTTGGAGGGCTTGGGTCCCCAAGGTTGGGTTTGAAGCTAGACCTGCCCCTGCTAGGTGGGTATGTGGTGGGTGTTTATTGATTTGGAGTGTGCTTCTGCTTATGTATAAATTGAAGACAGTACTGAGGTTTACACTCAGAGAGATGCTGACGGGCTCTGGTAGAAGGACCTGCAAGGCAACTGGCACACAGTAAGTGCTCAACAAATGTCAGCTAGGCAAAAGCGGCAGGCTCTTGGTGCCCGCAAAGCCAGTTGCAGTTGTGCGTGAGCCAGGACGTGTCTGCAGTTACGGCTCACGCCCCCCTTGCCGTGATTCCTAAGTGTCGCACTGCTAGGGAGCTGGGAGACCTTCTCAATCCCTCTGCGTCACACTCTGGGCTGCCCTTTCATGACCGGTGCCTCTGTCCCTTCTCTGCGTTCTTCTGGGTCGTGCCCCACGTTCTGTGGCTAGGACGTGTGCGCGCAGCTGAACCCCGCGGCAGGCGCTGCGCTTCCTCAGGGCACTTTCTACTGCTCGGCTCGCCCTGCTTGCGCCTGGAGGAGCGGATCTGTAGGAGGGCGTTATTAACTGGCTGACGGTGACACCTCCACTCCAGATAACTTCCCACTGGCTCTATTAACGAGCCACACACATGGGGATTCAGATGGCATCCTGCAAATCCAAAAGTGGGAGCATGTGCTCTTGGAGGAAAAAAATCTTAGAGAGGGAAACAGAATTCTAGGTGCAGGTGTCTCTGGATACCGCTCAGATTGTCTGCCTGTGTCTCCATACATGTCTGCAACCATATGCATTACATATGTTGTCTATTTTAAAATAAAACACTGCAGTGGTCCAGCTGTTCCAAATTCTGTTTCAAAGAACTTGTGGGTGCTTCCCAAGCAACACCACCTAGTCATCCTTGCACTGCCCCAGTCTGTTCTCCCCAGGGCTGAACCCACAAAAGCAAAGGCTCCTTGCAACTCCACTTCCCTGTACAAACAATTGGAGTCAGCGAATTAAAGAGAAAGCAAGCTCTGACGTTGACACAGGGGAGAAAACAGCCCAGAGGAGAGGTGGGAAGCAGTCATCCCGACTTCAGGGCCGTGCGGTCAGGTCCTTTGCCAATCCTTGGCATGTGCCAGGAGAAGGAAAGTGAATTTGAACATTAGGAGGAGCAAGTAGCATCAGCAGGGTAGTGTGGCTGCTGAAGGCCCCAGCAGCGTTGGATTATCTGCTGTTTTGGGAGATGTATACTTGTGCTCTTTATCATTCCACAATATTCTCTCTCCTTCTCTCCTTCCTTCCTTCCTTCCTTCCTTCCTTCCTTCCTTCCTTCCTTCCTTCCTTCCTCCCTTCCTCGCTTCCTCGCTTCCTCGCTTCCTCAGAAATCAAGGATCGACTACACTTTGAGAATCCCCTTCAGTTTTGACCTTTTCCAGACCTGGCTTTAGGAAGTTGTTTCCAGATTCTGCTTGGTGTGCAAAGGCACCCCCAGCTACTGAAAGGGGGTGATGTGATTTCCCAGGCCTGCTTCGAGGGCATAATCCAACACACCTTCCAAGCAATGCCACCTGCTCCACTTCTGGGGCTTAACAACATAAGAATTTTAGAGCCTTTTGGGTATGGGATAGGAGACTGGCTTCCAGCTGCACCTAGATAAACAAAGCTATTATTGGTACCTCGACTACGCTAAGAACCTGAAACCCTAGCAATGGTATCCCCAGCACAGAAGCAGGCTGGGGTCTGCAGTGCTCAGGGAGGGTGGGTGTCCTTTCAAGTAGAAACTCACAAAGCCCTTTACCCCAAGTTTCCCTGGAAACAATTTCATTGTGACATTTGAGGAATATTGGGAAAATGCAGGTTCCTACAGTGATACCATTATGTGGATTTTATACTCTCATCTAATCTGCTGATTAAAATTTAAGTGACTGGTCCCCAACAAGCTCCCCTGCAACTGACTTTGTTCTTTAATTGATTATATTTGAGTTCACTTCACATTTGATATTCTTTTCCTTTTTTCCTCTCTCACAACTGCAAGAAATATATATTATTCATTATCTCTTAATAGCAAGCATTCTTCTGTGATCTCGTTTCAAACGTGTATTTTTACATAGATTTGCACTAATGTCTATCAAATGAATGTACTTTTCTTGGGGGAATAATTCAGCTTTCAAATTTTTATTTTCTTATCATTCCAATAGCTATGGGATTAAAATTAAAAGGGGAATCTCCCTTTTTATTTTATAATATTATATTTTGGAAATTTTTATGGAGCAGGGTAAGAGAAATTCTGCAGTTTGAAATGATCATGACTGTATTGTTGACAAATTGTCTGGAGGAGATTTTTCTCTCTCATGAATCCCTTCTCCAACAAGTGAGAAGCAGCTGTTTAATCACCTAAATTTAAAGCACAGGGAGGGCTGCTGCTAGTCCTGATGGACGCTGGAGGCAAGAGAATAGCTAGCGTAACTCCAAAGTCATTGGTGAACCCAAACTGCAAATGAAAAGGTGACTTTGTATCTTTCTTATACGGAAAATGTGTGCTTGTCACCTCTGCTTGACAGTACAAGAGGGAATGTATGGCTCGGACAATAACGAACAATGACAGTGCTCAGCCTTATCAGAAGACATGCGATAAAGAAATGACAATGATTGATGGCAGCTGGCTGTCTACAGATTTTTCTAGAAGAGCTGTTCTTGGCATAGTCCAGTCATCGGGGATGCTGTGCCCTTCTGTGCCTGCTGCCCCGCTGCACCTTGTGGGCCACTTAACTGAGAAGAGGCCTGCACCTTCGCGTCCCTGCACCTGAGCCACACTGAAGGGCGAGGAACTGATGGAAGTTATCAAGGGCCACGCTGCGCCCCAAAGAAAGCCAAAGTCCAACACCACTGTGGCAATACACCCAAGGGGGCACGTATGGGCTGTTCATTGCAGTGTTAATTTCTATTGTTCTTTGTAAGACAGTTACTTTGAGTAAGAATCATAACTGAAATTTTGTCAGTGATCTCAAATCAAGTAAGTGATTTGTAAGTTTCTCTGCTGTGACTATTCCATTTTCAAGTAATTAATTTTATGTCCCCTACATGAAAAATACATTTTCTACCTTTGACTAATTAATGATGTGTCTTGCTGTAAGTCACTGTAGGACTTGAAAATACTCAACTGATTAGGGAACGATATGTTAAATGTGTCTGAAGTATTTAAGAAATGAATCTTCATTTAATGTGTTTGTTTAGATCATATCATGATGTTTAGAAAAATTCAGACTTAATTATAGGAGTCTTTCCTTTTAGAGAGGCATTTACTTTTACAATGGGAAAAATGTGATTTACAGTCTGTTTTGGGGCCATGAAAATTAAGTTTATATTGAATTAATTCTTTAAAATTGTATTCTTGCAACGTAGCAACTGCAAGTTGACAATACAAGAAGATATAGCAAAAAAAAAACCTCATTAGATAAAATTATAGAAAGGAATTAAGGCAAACAATTATTTAAAAATCTACTAGGACAGCAATGCATTGTGCAAATATTTGTAAATTCACTCAGAACAGAATTCATTCAGTCATCTACTCATCCATCCTTCCATTCTTGAGAAAAGAAAAGTACAGCAAATTCCTAAATTCCCACTAAAGTTCACATTCTATGGTAAGCTTTTAAAAATGCCTCATCAGACATTCAAATGAAAATAAAGTTAAATCAAGTATTTGCTTCAGGAGGTGAAAAAGGTCTGTCTGCTAGCCAGGAGTACACTTATGCAAAATAAAAGAAAAGGAGAAAGAAAGGGAGAGGGAAAAAAAAAAGCAAATTAAAGAAAGAAAACAAATTAGAAGAAAGGCTATTGTTAAATGGTCAGGAGAAATGGCGAGGCCAACTTCCTGTAGAGTTGCATTCAGAATACTCAGATACATAGTTGCCTGCTCGCTTGGCCAGTTTCTTCTCACTCCCTGTCACGTCAAGGCTTCCTGCTACCCATTTTTTTGGTGGGTAGCTTTTTGCTAGCTGAGTAAAAGAATTGTAGACTTTCTCTTATTAACAGTAAAGAGAAAGATTGTATCTGAAGTTTTTAAAGTCTTCTTTTTTCTCTTGCAGACTTACATTTCGCAAAGGTAAGACAAATACAAATGACACTGGCCAAGTTATTGTTGTCATTGTTCTCAAGGGAGCAGCAGGATGACACTGAAGATCAGAGGTCGAGACCTCCTCCCCGCGGTGGGACTGGGAACCCAGCGTCTGTGGAGCAGGCATGCGGGTTCGCTGTCCTCCTCCATTGACCCTTTTGTGTCTGGTCGTCCCTTGTACGACATGGAGCTCTCCTTTTCAAAATCAGTCCTCTAGTGGACCTCATCAAAGAGCAAATGTTCGAGGCTGGTCAAATGAATTCTTTAGGGTTCAAATAATGCACTCACTTTATTAATCGTATTTCGCCATTTCTTTTAGTCTTGCTCAGTTAAACTCTTGAGCTTCCTACCCTACCTTTCTACTTGTTAAGGTTCCCATAGTTACATCACAAATGCACCATTCGAATCTTTGGGATGGAAAAGGAAACAACAACAACAATAACAACAGCACATTATCAGAGCGCAAAATGATCTGTTTTCAGGCAGTAAGCGGTCAGGTGGCTGTGGGTTCCATGGAACAAAGGCCGTAACTGCCACTTCACTGTGCTGGTAATTAATATTCTTGGAATGAAAAAATTAGGAGATGCTCATGGTGGCTTTACTGGACGGTCATTTGATGCCAATATGAAGCCAAGGAGAGGAGGCAATTATGTACACGCCACATGCATTCCAGTATGGAAGCTTACATTTCAAACCTAAGGTCAGGAAAATAACATGAAAAGTTGTACTACAAAGTCTAGACATGAGGAAGATTTCAGAGGAGGGGGAAAGCACATCGCAGGTGTCAGATAATCTGGTCAGATTATCTGAGCTGTGCTAGCTATGGGGGAGCACTTACCCTTCAGTCCGGCTAGAAGTTAGCAGGGTAAGAAGGAACAAACCAGAAGAACATAAAGACTAGCAACAAGGCCCAGGAAAGCAGACAGGAGCTCTAACCTAGCAGCTAAAGTTCTTGGGTTGGAGCAAAGATCGAACAAGAAAACTTCAAACAAAAGAAAAGAAAAGAAAAAAAAAAACAAAAAACAAACAAACAAAAACAACCCCCCACCCCCCGAACCGGTAGTAACCCTAATCCCCCTAGCTATTGAAGGTTATTCAATATCGGCAAAACTAGAACAATTTTCAGAAACATCCAACTTTGGGGATCCATGATATTATTAGTTGAGAAATAGACTAAAATGATTAACTGTAAGTACTATGGCATATAATCATTGATCTAATGTCAAAACTTAAAATACCCTCTTCCTACCCACCCCATTTCAACTGAGAATTAAGGTACAGATTTTAACTGTTCCACTCATGCAGAATAGGCAGAGATAAGGTGTCCCAGTGAGAGGCCACCTGATGGAATAAATTATGGCAATTATAAAACTAGGTATAAATGCAACTATAAATTTGGATGTTTCTAATATGGCAACGGTGGCCTTAAAGATTGGAGAACTGCAAGTATTTATTTGAAAAAGTTGAGTAACTAGGTACCAACTTAATTTTTAAAATTTTAACTGAAAGGGAAAAAATTAAATCGACAACACACAGAAAAAAAAAATCACAAAAGAACGAAAATAGTTTTAAAGGTTGATGGAACCCTCCCAAAATCTTTGTAGAGTCACACACAAACTAATGAATAGCAGGATCTATTTTTTCCATTTTTACAATTCCACATAAATATTCCACTCCATTCCTTCTTAGATAGGTCTTTTCATTTTGAAATTGTAAAAATTATAAACTGTATCAAGAAGTGTGTCAAACTGAATTTGGAGACCCAATCAATTCCCAGTTATTCCCAAATTTCCCACACTATAAAACATTCCGTTCTCAAGTTTCCCTGGGACAGATCGGAACCTGACAAGATTGTCTTTCTCTGTTTCCCCCAAATTTGTATGTTGCTCCTTACTGCTCTTTAGCTTCCCTTGGCTGTGTACACACGAATAAAGCCATGACCAAGTTAAGTCATTGAAAAGCTGTTGTCAAAATATTGAAAGACAGGATTTATTGAGCTATGTGCAGAGTCAAGTATTTTAAAATAGCCCTTACCTTATGAAAGCCAAAGAAACCTTTTTAAAATGCAATACTTGATTTTTAAAACCCTTTTTGCTAGCTAGAGAATTTGTGATTGATTTTTGTGTTGTAACTTCAACAAATGAACCCAATTAAGTGAAGGACCAAATTTGCTACTTAGTAATGTGTGATGTTTATTCATTTTTATTGCTTTGTAGAACTGAGTGACCAATACAGCTTGCCTGTCCCAGGACTGAGGGTTTCCTGGGACACAGGACTTGTAATACTCGTAGTAGGGAAGTCCCAGCAAATCAGGGATGAGTTAGTTGGTCGTCTTAAGTAGGAATTGACACTGGGTTTCACTGAATTACCCACACAGTTTGATCTGTTTAACAGTGATGATGAACTTAGGTAAAGGTATTTGTGAGGCGAGTTTTGAACTAACCATGATGGTGTAGCACACGCCCCTAAAACTTTGGCTCCACCCCTTGCCCTCACACTGTGCGCACACACGCGCGTGCTCAAGGCCCCATGGGATGGAACGTGCCATGCCATTTGTCCCCAGTTCCTCTTTTATTCTTTGTCCTCGACTTTGTCTACTCCCAAATGCAAATGCTCAGAGGAAGACTGGACTGATTTAAGGCTGACTGGTTTCCTTTCATGGTTTCTAAATTGCAGGAACAGAAGCTGGTATGTTGGCTGCTGTTACACTGAGCACCCAAGCTAGCAATAGACAGAATTTGAGGCAGTGCTGAGGCTCTGCCTCGGGCTTCGTGCAGTGGCTGTACACGGAGGAGGTGGTGCTCCTGCCCTGAGGCTCAGAGTAGGACCGCCACCCATCGCTGACCACCTGCCCAGCTGGGCAGACTAGACGATGCGTAACTCGATGGGATGTTTCCAGTCGGAGAAAGGGGTCTTCTATAATCCACAACCCACATGGCTGAACATTTTGGCCTTTTTCTCTAGAGCCAGGTTGATGTGATAAGGCCTCGTGTTCTTCAGAGTAAGCCTGTTCGTGGGCACAGTTCAAAGAATCAGTAGAAGGAAAGGTGGTTCTACTGCCAGGTAGATAAATTCTGATAAACCCCAGGGGCGCGCATTAGCTTTTCTCTCTCAGACCACCTCCTAACCTATCTAGGGATGATACTGCTTGTCCCTCAGATTCCAACCTTGAGGGTTTTTCCAGGTGCCTCATTTCATAAAAGTTCCTAATCAAGCTGTGCATATTCGGTGGAGTCTTTTTGCTGATACCTAATAGTGAGCATTTAAATTTCATAACTATATAAGTGCTACCCAGGGAGGAAATCTCCACCAAGAGCCCCTGTGTACTTTCATGAAGAATCACTACTCTTTTTCAGGAGCTTCCTTCACTGGTCTTCTATTTTTTTTTTTTTTTTTTTTGACACTAGGGCTTGAGCTAGGGGCTCACATACGCTAAGCGCCTACAGTATCGCTGAACCCTACACCCTAGCCTGTCTCCATGTAACTTCACCCCACCTTTCTTCTTCCTTATTTAGTGAGCAAAAGTTGTGCCAATGGCAGATGATAGAACAGACACTGAATGCAAGGTGAGATGACCTCAGAAGAGTTGGAGATTATTTGGAAATGAGACCAGTGTTTTCCAAATATCACCTCAGATCTGTGCTTCATGAGGCTGACTGGAAGGAGACTATAATTAGCATCTTCCTCATGCAAGAGTGAGTACATTCCAGGTGGATATGGTGCATGGTTTCAAATGTATCACAAAAGCCAGAGAGATAGCTCAGTGGCATAAGTGCCTGCCTGGCAAGCACAAGGTCCCGAGTTTAATCCCTGGTACTGCAGGAAAAAAAAAAAAAAAAAAGTATTAACAAAAAAGCCACCAGGAAGGGTGAGGGCAGGGAGTCCTTCACACAGGTGGTTTTATTTAGAGAAAATAAATATTGTATAGTTTTTATTCCAGCGAATGACTACATTATCTTTATGGATCTCAGGTAAACCTAGAGGCCACAAGATACCAAGAGAAAGCAGCAAGGGGAGGAGCCTCAGTGGTGGCCACAAAAGGGCTATCCTTTGCCCCCGTGTCCACCTCACGGACTGCCTTAGTCTTTCCTAATTTTCCTAAAGCCACTGTGATTATGTGGTTGTTTACAAGTTTCTACCAAAGAATGCTCTTTTTTTTTTTTTTTGAAAACGTCAGCTCCTGACAGCACCCAGGGGAGTTGCATGCAGAAAGAGTCGTGTTTCTCAACCAGAATGGGGACTTCAAGGTGGAAGAACATAGTCGGGAAGAGGAATGGACGCAGAAGCTGTGCAACTGTTTAACAGAGAAGCGATCTCTGGTTAGCTGTTAGAGCTGCCAAGTGGCCGTATGCCTGTGTTCTGCCTCAGATCTGTCTGCAGAGAGGAGACTGGGAGCGCTGTGCAGACATCGCGCTCTGCTTCGGGCGTTCTCGTTTGCTTTCCTTCTCTGCAGCTCTCCTTCCTCAGATAGTGGACGACAAGATCCTTGGGTCTGGGCTAAGCCCGGAGAAGCCTTTCTTGATCACCTATCTGTCTAATGTTCTGTTTCTGCATCAAGCCACCATCGGTGATACTCTCCGTGGTGTTGATCGGTGGTGGCAGCGTGGGTTTCCGGGTTCACTCGCTGGCTGCCCCGGCTCTCCTGGTGGGAAGGCCCTCGTGTGTCTTCATCCTTAGTAATCTTCATTTCTAGACAGGGAGGGGCTCCGTGACCAGCCCGAGCCAGCGGGTTCTGAGCTAAAGTAGGGGGCCACCAGAACTGCTGCTCCCCTGGCTTGTGCCTCAGTAATCCCCGGTTGACTTGATATTCGGGGTAATAAAAGGGTTTCTATGTAGGGTGAGTGTTTGCTTGGTTTTGTGCTTGATGACTGTATTTTACCTTGCTGTAGTAAATTGTCTCCAAGCGTATACTAGCTATCCCCTTATCCTGCGCATCAGAAGGGCTGGGAGAGAAAAGCCATTCCTCGGCCACAGGAGATGGAGCGAGGGGGCAAGAGAGTAAACAGCAGAGGCAGGGGGAGGCAGGGGATGTGCGGGTGGCTGTGGGAGGGAGGCTTTCACTTCTGCGTATCTGATATTCTAGCTAGGAATGGGATTTTAGGTGCTTTTCCCCACTGCATGTGATAACGTCATCATTTATTTTTAAATGGTTCTAAATTGCAGATTTGAGTTTATTTCAAATCAACCCTATTTTAAAATTACTTGTAATAGGAAGAAATGAAGCCATGACATACATGATCTACTCTATTTGAAGGACTCAAGCACATACATATTTGGCTGTGAATTCCACAGTTTCACCAGAGCAAGGAGAAGCACGCACGAAACGCACTGTCCTGTGTGTGCTCCTTGGAGGGGAACATCAAGTATTGCACTTTAAAATAACCTTCATCTACCATTGCGTTGCAGCTCTCACCCTGAATCCCCTGCATGTTTCCAGCAAACATGGTTTTGTGAATCCTAAATACAAAAGCAACTCCTTTTTCTTATTCAGCTTTGGAAGATCTGCTTTACTCTGTGGAGCTTTATTTTTAAAGAATGTCATATTTACTTACAGAATTGTGAGATGGGGGCATCGAGCTGCGGCACGTTCCCTCCCTTGGCGTTGAGCTTCTGGACCTGGGTTGGGGGCACGGGCTTGTGTGACTGCCCGGTGGCCCGGTACATGGCTTGGACCCACAGGATGCGGTCCTGCTCGTCATCGCTGGCGAATATCACCGTGTCTCCTTCCTTAACGGCATTGAAGAAGGCTCGGCCCCCTTCCAGACCTGCAAGGTGAGGAGAGAGCAGCTTCTGAGCAAGGCTGGGTGGTTTCAGCGCCTTCTCCTTGAGCCGGAGAAGGGAAAGAGTGATTTACCTGACTCAAGGGTAGGGAGTCTCAGAACCACTGAGTCACGGTGGGACCGCAGCACGGAAGAGACACCGTGAGCCTGGCTCCGTGCAGCGGCCAAGCAGGAGGCTGACAGGGTGGCCACACTCCGCCTATGACCAGGCTTCTTTCCCCTTTGCATTTACAAACACATGAACAATAATAACCAAACCTTTTCGGATCCCTGCTCCGCTGTCAACTCTTGCCCCGCTGTTCTTCTCTTTAGGAGGAGAAGCCTGTCTCTACAAAGGCAGCCGCAACTTTGGAATCCCCTGAGCATCTCGATTCGCGCAGCAGAGCTCGGGAATGGAGCCTGCGAGCCTGCATTTCTAGCAAGCTCCGCGAGCCACACTCCAGAGGCGGCGGTCTCTCTCCTGATTTTGCCGCTCTATTCCAGCTGCTTGACTGAAGCTCTCTTGCGAAGACCTCCCCATTGCTGAGTCCGGCGGTTGGTTCCAGTCATCCACTCCGTCACCACCAGCAGCACTGGGTACACACTCCTGGCTCCTTGAAACGCTTTCTCTACTTGGCTTCCAGGAGACTGAATTTTCCTTTTCCTCCATGGCCTGCGGCTTCTATCTTGCCGGCTGATGGCTGTTCCCGCTCCTCCTGACCTTTAGGTGTGAGCGTGTCCTGGTATCCCATCCTGGGGCCCCTCTCTACTTTATCCCCATTCTTCTGTGATGTCACTGAGCTTGCACTGGTGTGAACACGCCCAAGGGCCTCCCCGTTCTCCCTGCCTTGGACCTCTCTGTTGAACTCTAGCTCTGGCCAGGCAGTGGTTTTCTTGACTTCTCCGCATGGAGTCAAGAAGTCGAGAACTTTCCTTCTGCAGAGGCCGCTCTCCATCCCAGAGGAGCTTTAGCCCATGTCCACAGAAGCTGCCACGCACAGTCCCAGGCCGTTACTGCTCCCGCTTCCTAACCTCTCCAGTGGCATCGACAGTCTCGGGATTCTATCCCTAGGACATTGCGGGGTGCGAGCGCCCCCAACTCATGCTGCTCCCCAGAGCTGGCCACGGTCACCTCTCTTGTGGGCTCCTTCAATAGCCTCCTCCTGCTGCGTCTGCCCAGCTGCACTCTCTGGAGTCACTTCTCAACAAGGTGTTGGAATCATCCAACTAAGCAAGTGTCCGGCCAGGTCATCCTCTGTGCAAACTCACCAGCAGCTCTACATTCCACTGAGAGGGAAACCCTACCTCCTGGCAAGACCTGCGGCCCAGACTGAGTGGGCCTGCCCCTCCACTGCTCTCCGTCTGGAGTCTTCTCCCCCTGCCTTTGGTGCTCAGCAGAGCCCTGGCCTCGTGCCGGCCACGCACACCCTGCCCACTCTCACCTCGGGATCTTGCCCTTGCTGTTCCGCGGACCCGGAGATCTCTCTCTTCTTTTAGATCTCTGCATGATTCACACCCTTACTTCCTGCAAGGCTTTTTCTAGTTCACATCTGGAGGAGGCCTTCCCTGACCTCTGCCCCTTGTTACCCACCCCTCGTACCTTCTTGAATTTTTCTCCGCTGTTCTTATTACCTTCTCGCAAACTACACAATTCACTTTGCACCGTGAGGGCAAGGAGTTTTTGCCTGTTTTGTTCTCACCCACATCTTTGGCATCTAGAATAGTGAATGGCACAAAGTAGGTGCTTAACAAATATTTGCTGAAGGAATGAATAAGCCCTAGCCCTGACTTTTTCAACTGGCAGTTCTGAAGGTGAAAATTTTGAGCAAATACAAGCATCCCTTTGGGCCGAGGCTGAAGTGCACTGCACACATCAGCACACGTCAGCAGCCTGCAGGTCAGGTGGAACTTGCCACCAAGGAATAAAGCGTACTATCTGCATCAGCTTTCTCACCATCTCCCCAGCTATTAAAGGCAGAGAGGAGAATAAATGAATGATTCGCATCTCAAAATTTGCAATGAGGTTCAGTTAACAACCTGTGTGATGCTGGCACTGGCAAAGATTTCTGGGGATATTAGAACTTTCCTCCTGTGACGACAATATTAATTCAGGCATCTACTGCAGAGAAGTGACTGTGGTTTGGAAGTTTTTCACTTAGAATAGCCAGAGATTAGCGCAATGATAGCTACTTCTTTATATGGAAGGTCCAGTGATATGACATCAAAGCCGTTTTTTTTTTTTTTTTTTTTTTTTTTTTTTGGTACTGGGGATTGAGTTAGATGTCCTCACATTGAGCTGTATCTTCAGCTCTTGGCTCTTTTCATTTCTTACTTTGAGACAGGGTCTTGCTAAGCCAGTAAATTGCCCAGGCAGGGCTCAAACTTGTGATCCTCCTGCCTCAGCCAAGTGCTGGAATTATAGGCTGTACCACTATGCCTGGCTCAAGAAAGTTTTAATGAAGCTCTTGGACGGTTGACTGTGAGGGGCTATTTTGCCTAACTTCCTGTGAAGGGCACATGAACACGTATAACTCAGGAAGGGTGAGGTATGGGCAGCAAGCTGGGAAAGCCTGCGGAACCTGCAGATGGCATGGCGAGGAAAGTTCTGGAAGCACAGGGGTAGGAGAGCTGCATGGCCTGAAAAGTGGGTGCCAGGGAGCTAGAAGGAAGCACGGGACTGTAGTGCAGACTGTGGTGACCCCGGAGAAACCCACCTGGCCGCAGTCAGGGGTGTCTAGCTAAATATTCCTGGAGGGGTGCTCTCCCCACCCCCTCCTCTTCCTCGTGGCCGCTGCTGGGGGTGAGGACAGTGTTCCTGGAGGGACCCTCAAAAAGTCAGCAGGGCCCTTGGGAAGTGGTTGCCCTCCGCACTGTGCAGGTATTCAGAGGCACAGGTGGAGAGGCAGTAGATGGTCAGCTCTTTTTCTACTCCCTGCAGCCCAGTGACTCGGTGCTGTCATACACTTCCCCAACTGAAGGAACCATCACAGCGCAAACGCAGCTCTCCTGGAGCACAAAGCTGGTCTGTACCTAGCAGCGCTGGGCTTCTAATGCCCAACGCCCGGCTGCCCCAGAGCTGGGGGCTGTCGGCGCCATACTGCAGGAGCCCAAGGACATCCTGAGGAGACCAGAAGAGGGGAGAGGAATAGCACAATCCTGGGAGCTGGGTCAGGAGCACGCGGACGGTGACATGCACAGCAGGGGTCATAGGTCAGCGGGAGCAGCACGTCCTGCGGAACACGGCTGGTGACAGCGCACTGGCCCATGGGCATGGCAGAGGCGGGGGCAGGCCAGGCGAGGGACTGCTGGCCAGGCCAGGGACAGAGGCACAAGTGCTTTCCAACCACTGTTCAGATGTCATCCTGCACTAATGGTAAAGAAAAGACCCATATACATTGTCTATGACCAAAGTTAGCCGCTTGACATTCTGTGCCGTGGCATGATTTTGAATGGATCACCTTTTAACTTTTTTTTTAATCACTCATTTATTTGGTACGGGTCTCACTACACAGCTCTGACTTGCAGTGACCCTCCTATCTCAGCCTCCCCAGAACTGGGATTATAGGCGTGTGCCACCACACCTGGTTTCTGTGGCTGGCACAACATGCCCAGGATTTCAGGGCAAGCACAGCATGGATGGGTCGAGCCCAGGCCCTTGTGCTTGCCAGGCAGGCACTTAGACTGCTGAGCTATCTCCCCAGCCCCAGATCACCTTTTACTTGAAGACTTCACCGCTTGGGGAGCTGGGAGACCATTGTGTCTCCTTGGCATCACATGCAGGGGAAGGTAAAGCCCGACGTCTCCAGGTGAAAAGAGCGGCCATGTGGGAAACTCACCTACTGTAATTTACCCACCTCCCAAATGGATACTTCAGGCTGCCACAGAGGCAGAGCTCACTGAGTCTGGGTGACCTGGGAGCTCACTGGTTTCTGAGGCAAGGACAGCATCCACCTCTAGACCTGCCAATGGGACAGAGCCCAGGGGCAGTTCCACCAGCTGGCTCCACTGCCACCCTGGAGAAGGCCAAGACTGGGAGCCACAGAGATGGACTCGAGTCCTCTCCCTGTCAACCTGCACACCCACCCTTCAGGAGCTGCCACGGACATGCCTGAGATCTCCCAGGACACTGGCTGAGATGTGTGTCCCTAGACCCAGAGCCGGCAGACTTCTGTACATGGAAATCCCTCAGAGTGCATCCTCGCATTCTGGTTCACAGGCTAGGAGTGGGGCTCAGAGACCTCTACTTTTAATAATCGCTCTTTAAGAAATTCTGAGTAAGCAGGGCAAGGCGATAAACACCTGTAACCTCTGCAATCTGACAGGCTGGGGCAGCCTGGGCAGCTTCATGAAGGACTACAGAGAGAGAGAGAGAGAGAGAGAGAGAGAGAGAGAGAGGAAGAAGAGAAGAGAAGAGAAACAAAAGAAGAATCGGAGGGAGGGAGGAAAAAAGGAATTCTGAGTTCAGGGGTTGAGAGTGGGAGATACAGCTCAGTGGCAGAATCCTTGTCTTTGTATGACCAAGGCCTTGGGTTCAATCCCCAAGACCAGAAAAGAAAAAAAAATATCTAAGTTAAATATTTCCTTTAAAAAAATGACAATTGGCAACATTTAAATCTCTATTCTCAATTAAGCATTACTTGGGAAATACAGTGAAAGGCAGAGAGAAGAAACTGCCTAATATTCCTGAGATCATAATCAATGTTTTTCCATTCACATCTTTCATCAAAGGAATTATAAATTAAATCTCATGAGCGCATTATTAAGAAAAATAAATACAAAAGCTTTCACTGTATCATTCGTGCCCAGTTACTCTTTATGTGCGCACATTGAAGAGTTTTCTTTCTGCCCCATCTTCTTCACTACAGGAAGCAAGTTCTGCTTTCAGCTAATCAGTAATAACTACCTTTGCCACTGATGTCCATATAGAAGTGTCCAAGAGGGACACAGAGCCCCACCCAGCCACAGGGATGCCCTTGCCCGCTTGGAACCTCTTCATTTACAAAATGGGCGGATGCTCCACGTCCTGAGCTCTGTGGGAGGTGCTGAGGGCCAGGTGCACTTGTGGGGCCTGGGAGCCGTGAAGGGCTTGCAGGCAGTGACCCAGGAGGTGACTGTCGCGAGATGCTCTGTGCATTGCTTCTCTGACTCTTGGGCCTCCCATGGTAAGATGGAGGTCTAGGGCGTGACTGAATGTGGCTCTGCAAAGAGAGCCCAGTGATAGCACGGCCCGACACCTGGCTCTCAAGACAGAGCCCCTCCGCCTGACAGGGTGCTCTGCAGAGCAGTCAGGTTCTAACTCCAGGCTGTGCGCCTTAGGAAGGCTTTCCAGGCAGGGCTTCAACTCCTGTCTGACACGGTCAGCTCCACACCATGCTCTGGAAGGACGTGAGCTCCAGGTGGAAGTCCCAAGAGTCGGGATTCGGGGTGCCGCTTCCCCGGGGAGGGGGGTGCCGAGGCCTTCCCTGCCTTACCTTTCCAGGTTCCTGTCCCACCCTCTCTCAAAGTGTTTTTCTTGATGTGTATTTTGTTGCATGTGGAAGAGCAATATGGGAGTAAAAAAAGGTTTTGGGCCAAATAATGCAGTATGGTTGGAAATGCTTCCCTTGTGCAGATTTGGCATAAAAAGAAACTTCTCTGAGAGAGGGCTGTTGGTGGTGGTTGTTCATTAATATGCTGAAGCGATTTCGCACCCCACCCTCATTTTGAAGGTTCTTTGAGGCTGATTTCTATTCATTTTTTTCTGGGGAAAAGAGAAAATGGGCGGGGGGAGTGTGAGGGGGCAGGATGTAAAACTTCTGCGACATAGAACTTACGAGAAACACTTCCACGTATGTGGTTCTCCTCGTTACATAAGGCTTGGGAACTGCGCTTGCAGGCCGTGTCTTAGGAACCAATGCACGGAGGGAGTCGGTGCTTACCAAGTCCTGCGGCCTCGCCTTACCCAATTCTTGAATTCTACTTGGGTCATGAAGATATAAACTCTGCCCACACATCACTGGTGAAAAGCTACACACACACACACACACACACACACACACACACACACGGTCTGTAGTGTACATGTAGAAATCCTTTTCTCAAGAATGCATTTTACCATGGTATGTTTGATGTGGCTGAAGATACACAAAAGGAGAATGCACATCTTTTCTTTTGGGTTTTCAATTCGAGAATCCACTGTGTAACACAAAAGCCCCAGGCCCGTATGGCATTTAATCAACTGGGGGGAGGGGAAATCTTCGTAAGAGCAGGGTCTCGGCTGGAGTGGTTCCCGCGATGCCCTGAGTCCACACTTAGTGCCCAGCAAGAACTCTTACTAATATTAACCTGAGTGTTGATATTTATTAGCAGGCCACTGACGGGAGAGGCACGGCAGCGCTGCGGGGCCAGGGCCGAGGGTGGGTACCTGGCTGGGGGTCTGTGTAGTCCACAGTGTAGCCATCCAGCTGCAGCAGCTCCTGCGGCTCCGCCTTCTTCTCCCGGTAACTGCACATGGCAAATGTGTACTGACTGACCTGGGAGCAAAAGCAGACCGTGAGATTGGTCCCCTAGAGCCTGTCCTCCCCGCAGAGACCCTCCCAGTCAGTCCGGTCCTCCCACTCAGCTCAAATCCAGTTCTGTCTCCTTCTGCTTGTGTGACTTGTAGCCTCTCTGAGGTCCTTTGGGAGCCCACCTGCAGGTGGGGTACAAGCTAAGGACCTGTGCTGCTGGCTCACTGCAAGGACCGGGCACATGTACACAGGCAGGCGCTCACACCTGCTTGGGCCACCCGGCACGAGCTGTGTCAAGCCAGCGGCTAGCGCTGCTGCTCATACTGGCCTGAGGGTGTATGCACCTGCCACTAGTGTGGCAGGACATGGGCGATTTATAGGCTCTTTCTGTCACACCCTTTGGCCTGGCCGGGCTACCTTGCTTGTGGGACGCCACAAAGGTGTTCGCTTTGGAGGTAGAGACTCTACGCTCCTTTATTTATGCATTTTTGAAGAGCGCTTTATCTTTGGAAGACCTGTCCTCAGCGTCAAGCTGGACACGTCATCCTGCCGCCCACCCCTCGGTGAGGGAGAGCTTCGGGTTGCTTTGAAGAGTCTTCCCTTCATCTCAGACAAGTGCAGGATGACATGCTGTCACAAGCAATGAGTGCTCGACTGCTAGGTGCCAGTCACAGCGGACAGGCCTCAGCCCCTGATGGCGTGGCCACTGTCGCTGGTGCCCTAGGTGGCAGCTCTCACTGCACTGACGTGTGGCACCCGTGCCGGCACGGGGTGGCTGCTCGGGGCTGCGGGCCCGCCTCCAGGAGCCTGTCGTCACTGTGCATCCAGCCCTGGCATGGAAACTTGGCATTTCTACATCTGGCTTCGCTGCAGGGAGCGGTGGGAAAGCAAGCCTGCCCCAGCTGCAGGCTCAGCTCTCGGCACGCTTGCCATGGAGGGATGTCAGATGTCTAGGAAGGGACGAGGTGTCCCGCACCACTGAGTGCCTGTTATTAAAGGAGACATCTCCAAAGTGAACTTTGATCCTGACTGGGAACAGTCTTAGTCTCTCTTTGGGGAGACTTGTTTTTTTTTATCTTTTGTTGTTGTTGTTGATGATGGCAGTAAGAAATGGGTGTTCTCAAGTCTTACAAAACTCTGCTGCGCCACCCCAGTCCTGAAGAGTCCCCAGGCACGATGAAAATGTCCCTGCAGTGCATCTCCTGGGCTGGTTTGTCTGCTGCTGCCCTCTGTTGGTCCACGCGGAAAACGTCACCGCCCCATGAGTCGTTTTCTAGAGCTTGCCATGGGTAGGACCTGTGCCTTAGCACAAGGTCCCCAGGGACAGCAAGCCAGGCCACAGAGAACTGTCCCGGAAGGCCAACCGCCTCGATGCTCTGGGATGTGCAGGACGGCCCGCAACAGCGCCTGCTCTCCTGATGCAAGGATGAACCAAGCGGGGATGCGGGGGCCTGGGATCCCCCGCTCTCAACCCATCGCTTCGTGAGCCTCAGGGGCCTTCACTCTGCTTTGGACGATCGCTGCTGCACACACTGGGTGCGACGCCCACGGGGCCGACATCCGACAGCGGTGTCCGTGCTTCTTGTGGAAGCGCTTCTTGCACACGGGGACCAGCACCCTACCACTGCGCGGCTCAGCTGGTGCGTTGGCCCCTAGATTTTAACTCCTCTGAAGGCGGCCGGGGACTCACAGACCTCGGTTCTCCACACGCCACAAGCCAAGCCTTCGCTAGTGCAGTCCAACGAGGGCCTCCGCCCTCATGCGCTGGTTAGTGCGAGCACAGCCCAGCCGTCCCACGCTGGAGCCAGCCCTGCAGGTCACGGACTCCCCTGGGCTGGCAACAGAGGTGACACAGGCCCCCGGGGCGGATCCCTGGCGATTTCTACCTGACAGTTCATCTGGCAACACGAGAGATGATATAGTTTCTGAATGTGATCGGCCAAGCGGAGAGGTTCTGCTATTCAGTCGAGATCAGAAAAACAGCGCAGCGCAAGGGCGCTGTCTCCAGAGGCGCGCAGGTGCTGCCCCTGCGCCGCTCGCTGCTCGCGGCCCGCCGCTCGCCCTCTCGCCTCTGCGCTGCGGCCTGCAGCCGCCCTCTCGCAGCTCTGTCTCCTGCTGCCCCCTGCTGGGTGAACCGCTGAAGTCACTCAAGGAAGCTGGGTCCGTCCGAAGTGTAAATGAATGGGAGCTGTTGTACGGGGATTATTTTTATTTAGGACTTGGCCATTTAGATTAGAAAATAGAGGAACGGAGAATGTTCTTTGAATAGTTCTACTTATGGCGGGTTTGGCAGAACCGTAGTTGCTCTAGAGTGCTTGAAGGGTGGGGGCATAGATTAAGGGCCTTTGCTTGGGTTTAAGCTTCAGAAGAAAGCTGTTTCCAATGAAATGCACATTTCTCGGTCGTAAAAGGAAGTTCTTTATTCTCTCTTCTGTTTTCTCTCTCTCCTCTCTCCTTCCTCTGCTTTTCCTCCTCCTCCTCCTCCTTCCTCTTTCCTCTCTGTCTCTTTGTCTCTGTCTCTCTGTCTCTCTCCCCCTCTCCTGATAGAACCCAGGGACTATGCACTGAGCTACACCCTTAGCCTCCCCCCTTTTTCTTTTTCTTTCCTCCCCTCCTTTTCTTCTTTGACAGAGTCTCACAAAATGCCCAGGCTGGGCTAGAACTTGTGATCCTCCTGACTCGGGCTGCCAGTTTTTGCACTGCAGGAGGGAACCAGCATGCCAGTTTTTCCATTGTCCTTCCATGAAGATACTCAAGTGTCTGAACACAATTGAGGTCTGAGATCTATCATTTTCTTTCTTATTTTATTTATTTTTTGCGGACCCGGGATTGAACTCAGACCCTTGCGCTTGCCAGGGAAGCGCTTATTCTACTGAGCCATCTCCCCGGTCCCCTTTCTTTCTTATTTTAAAAAAAATATTTATTTATTTGGTACTTTTATTATTATTTGGTGTTGATTATTTATTTGGTAAATAAAATTATTTATTACTTAAATTTATTTTATATATTTATTCAGTAGAGTCTCGCTATGCAGCTTAGGCTCAGTGATCCTCCTGTTTCAGCCTCCCCAGCGCTAGGATTGTAGGCATGTGCTACCATGCCCGGTTTCAGGGCCAGCACAGCATGCAGTACTGGGGATTGAGCTTGGGTCCTTGTGCTTGCCAGGCAGGTGCTTAGACCACCAAACAGTCTCCCCAGGCCTGAGATCTGCCATTTTCACACACGGGAGCTGTCCAGCATCCTTAAGCTTGTCCCCAGGTTTCGGTTAGATTTAGTAAGCAGAGGGTGACGATTAGATCTGAGGGCTGCCCCTAACCCTCTTACTGCTCACAGAGGCCTAAAACAAATGGATATGCAGACTGACACTGCGTCTCACCTAAATTCCTTTCTTTGCTTTTGATTGTAGCTGTTATTTTTACTGAACCCTGGACATTAGCCTTTCCCCAAATA